AATTCGCCTATTGGGCTTATATTTTTACAAAAAAAAAATGGTCCGGTCTAATTTACACCGTCATATGTAAAACCCTAAAACCTTATGCTGGAAATTCTTATAAATATAGGATGCCTCCCTTGAAACTCAAACATCACGGCTTGATTTTTATGCATAGCAATTATGATTTATAGTTCTTTTTTGTAACTCAAACTTGATCCTTTCTATGATGCATCGTCGTCGGTTTTTTTTTCTCCTTTTTATGTTATGGTCACTTGGAAAGTAAGATCTCACAGATCTTTGCCAATTAGTGATGAGTTATTTATGCAAAGTTTATAGTTTGGTCGATTACATGTTTTGGTTTTCGTAGCTGTTTGGCTTTATATGCTTGAGAATTTTCATGATTTTGATTAGCACCTCTTTCTTTTCTCAGGTACAAGCATAAACTTTTTGGATTGTGGAATTGCAAACGATGCTCAAATCAAACTGAGGTATCTCTCTAATCTTGCTTGATTTATGCGTTTTTTTTTTTTTTTAAAAAGAACTTAATTTGATTGCTGTTGCGTTATCATATAGTTACGATCATAAAAAGATTAACCGTGCGGCTTTATTTTATTTGGTACGACCTGTATTCTTTTACGTTTTTTTTTTAACGCATTGTTTTATTGTTTCGAATATATTTCTGTAATACGTAGGCTTTAAATCTGTTCAGAATGATGTGTTATATATTATGGAGTCTATGAAGATTATGCACCGTCTGCAACGTGGTCCAGAACGTATAAGGGAGAGGGCACGAGTCGTTACAGACTCGAAGACGTGTTTCCAGACTTATAATTACCATTATCGTATGATCGATATCTCGATGTATTTTTAGGTTTTGATTATGATATTTTTCTTGGTTATACTAAAATCATATTAATCAATGAAATATTTTGGATTATATTGAGTTTATCATGTTCATTGAATATCACACATGATTATGAATCGAAGTTAATCGGTAATATCTTGGGAATAATATTCATTGTCGACAGTTCTTATATTCTGAATTTATTATGCTTAACTGAAAATAATCGATATTGAGAATACTAATACTCAGAATGATTAATCACCGGCGCTATGATTTTAATGTATACGATGATATATACCTAATCGGCGACGTGACAATTCTTATCGGTACATCATGTAAACTAGACTGGATTTATAAATATCTTATTTGTGTAGAGATACCTAAACGACGGCTGCTAATAATGATGAAATATTGCATCCATGTATTTTATATGTTAGTAATAATTTGTAATACATATATCAAATTGGAATACATATATATCAATAACACTATAACAATATATAATGCATCTTTATTTTTTATATGATAATCTTTTGGGTTGATATTAGCTAATCTCTATCTAACTTTTTGAAACAAACAAAATAAGAGATATAGATAGATATTTGCCTATCTGATTGTAACCGTTCTATAATTTCATATTATTTTTTATATTATTTAATGTTATCCTATATTGCATATTATACAAATAATTATTATTTTATATTATTTGAGTTTATCCTATATAATTTATTATACAAACAAACATAAAGAGTATTAAAATAATAGCTACTTCTTATGTTTTACTACCGAATCTATCGAGATTGTATTTAATTTTGATATATACAAATATTGGATACTATCAAACAGTTTTCTATTTTATTTTTGAATAAAAAAGGATATACTTATAAATTAATTTTTTTATTTTGCTGTTCATAGAAATTTTCGTATTATTATTATATTGTTTATATAGTAGCCCATAAAAAGTTAGGGTTTTCTATTTTTAATTTTTGTAGAGTTAAATGAATATGTGAATATATAGATATTGACATTTTAACGGAATATTTTGGGGTTATTGTTAAGGGTTTTTCTCCTTATGTAATGATATGGAGTATTATGTTAATTTCTTTTTTTAAAAATATATAAAATATTATATTGAATATTCTTGGTATTTTATTTGGTAACTACGAATATATATTGGAGATAAATATGAATTAAATATTTTCGTTATTGGACCCATATTCGAGATAAATCTAAATTATAAAGTGTTTAATGTATAATTTATATGTCGTGTTTTATTAACAAACCAATTACTCATAGATCTTCGTTTGGTCTTCGCTGTTTATCTTTAGTGGTTCGGTTGATGTTCTATTTGGGTATATATTCCTTTTTCATTCGGCTCACGGAAAACGAACGTCTTAATAAAAACTAATGTTAAGAAGATATTATCATATCCGTAAAGTTTTGTATACGTATATTCCTTCTAGCAACAAAAAAGGAAAAAAATCTATATAAAAATTTTGTTGGTTGAGATTTTTTAATATAATGTTAGATTCTCTAATTCAGAAGATTGAATATAAACTTAATGGTACATATATAAGTGCTATTATATCTCATACCTTAGTATCTATTAACCGATTATACTAGGTGCTCTATATCTTTGTTTCTTATGATGTCCCAACTCTCTCCTTGCACCATCACTAGATTTGAAGAAGAGTTGGATGTTTGTGATGATCTTAAAGATCTAAACCCGGACATGATTACCAAAAAAATTAAAGTGAAAATTGTTAGAAGGTTCGTATGGCCTGCGTTACGCGATAGGCTGGTTGAATTTATCCTTGCAGATTCAAAGGTAACAATTATTAATTATCATCATTTCGTTATGCTATAAAGATTCAACCTAATATTGAAATCTTAAATAGCATCAAAAGATACACGTCCTAATTGATGTAGACGTGGCTCAACGGTTCTCATCCATACTCATAGAAGGAAATTGCATACTCTTATCAGAGTTTAATGTCTGTAGGAGGATATTTTAGACCAGCTAGACACAATTTTTTCATACGTTCGAATGCGCTTACTTCAGTTACTTTACTAAGGTCTTTCTTACAAAGTGATTGTTTCACTTTTGTCAAGTTTCGTGAGGTCAAGCAAGGTCGCCTAGATCCTAATTACTGTGTGGGTAAGTGATATGTTATACGTTGGTTATAGATTATTTTTTTATTTGTTTATTAAACCATATCAAATCCAAATCCATAGATCTAATTGGGAGGCTTGTGCGTACTATCGATTTTAGAGCGTCTGATTCGCTAGGCGTTAATCATCGTTTTTTTCCAAATTGAAGACAGAAGGTGACTATTTATTTTATCTGCAGTTTTTTTAAAAAATAATAATTTGTTTTTTCTTTTTTAAAAAATAAATAGACGATACTAACTTGATGTCTTTCCGTGATGAAGTGGGATACGTATACCATGTCGATTGCCGAACTTCTATGTTAATAGATTTATAAACGATAGGGCAAGTTGTGTTGATGATGTCAAAATCATCATAATCAGATTTGCTAAATTGGAGCTCTTTGAAGGTACATATAAGATTTTTTTATATTATTGGATTTTAATAATTTATCCGGCATTGTAACAATTCTAAAATTTCGTATTTACAGGAACAATCCATGTTACAGCAACTGAAAGGTGTACGCAATTCTTATTCAATCATATTTGTCCCGAGGTTACGGTCATGCGGAGATTCTTTGGCGGGCAATAATAAGTGCGAGTTTATTTAGTTATTAAGAATTACTTACTTTCATTTTTTTAATGATAGTTTTAAGTTTTGTTATTTATCCGTTTTGAACCTAAATATTATATGAAACATGCCTTTGATACGTGTTAATACATCTAAATATAGGTGTTGTTATACCCATATAATATATATTTCTTAAATATCTCTAACTTATCACTCTAAATTATGATTGATTCAAGAAGATTCTGTTTTTTAAAAAATTAGAAATATCGAGAGTATTGTCATTCACAACAAACGAAGTCTTCAATGTATTGTCATTCACAATGGCGCAGTTTTTGGATGAGTGCATGCCTTGTTTGAAAAATCACTAGGCGCTAGTCGGGCGCTCGACATGGGCCTAGCGATTAATCAGAAATCGGATTAAAATCGGGGATTAATCGGGGATTAGTTTTAGGGTTATTTTAATATTTTTAAAACATATTAATCCAATATTATTTTCAAAATTGCAGTAAACACATAAAAATATATTTTTGAGATAAATTTTTATGATTTTTATTGGCTTGGTCACTAATAAGTAATATGTTGCATGATGGGAGATTGGACAAAAGCTTTCTGGAAATGCTTTCTTAAAAACAGTTTATCCTAGAGAGAGGAGAAGTGGTAATACAACACAGTCCTTATGTTAAATGTGTGTATATTTGGTTGCTGTTTTGTGTATTTTATTGTTAGGTTAACACAAGATCAATGGTGAGCATCAGAAGAAGATCTTCCCTTCAAGAAGATCTCAGAGTTTATTTGGTTTTGAACCAAACGTATTTTTATAATTCTTAATTTGAATGAGATTGTTTAGGCAGATTTCTAGTTGCTTTGGGTTCATATAAAATAACCAAACGTTATTTTTGTTGCTTTCTCGTGATTACTTCTCAACTCAGTCCTCATGTTACTTGTGTGTATGTTTAATTGCTGTTCTGTGTAAGTTTCATGAAGGTGACTGATATTTTATTGTTAGGTTAGTAAAAGATCAGTAATGAGTATCAGAAGAAGCTCTTCCCTACAAGAAGATCTCAGACATGGTTTGGTGTGATTATTGTTTTGGTATAGATTTAGTTTATTAGTCAAATTCTTAATTAATTTAAGGAATGAAACTCTTTTGGACACTTTTGTTGAGTTTAGAGGAATGACTTTTAAATTTCCAGTTAAGATTGGTAAAACCGAATTAGAGGATATGTGAAATGTTCCTTAGCTTATCACCTGCAACAACTTTTTGCATTCTCTGATCTTCGAACATATATATAATTCAGTTAACAGGAATCACTAAGATTGGTGGTTAAGGAAAATATTTGGAGAATGTTGCAGAATCCAATATCTCTTCTTACCAGAGAGTCCTTAAAGCCAAGTTTTATCCTGGAGAAAGTATCTTTGCTGGATATGGATTGCAGGTAAAGGAAACCAAATCAATGTTTGGTGAGAAAATATAGCTTCCTACATCACCTCCAACGCCAGCTAAAGGTATATAGCTGAATGTCTCTGATCTTATAAGTTCAGGAACTGGCTATTGGTGCCATATAAAAAATTTCATTCAGGATGATTGACAACCACCACACTATCAAAAGCACTCTGAATGATTTCTCGGAACTGAAGTGGCTTGTCGTTTTACAAAATTAGTGGCGCTTTGTTAACTTTTAATCCTTTGGTAGATTTTGGTGTGTCTCTCTGTACTCCTCTCTGGTGTACTCTAACTTGAGAAGCTGAGAAGATTGATTGCTTTAACAGTAAAGATTGTATATGGTGGATTCTGGTGATGGAGAAGCCTTGACTTCAGATGATGTTCTTGAAGGTTAATTGTGCACATTAGATGAATCTGAAAAGACTTCGGAATCTCTGAGCAAGATGAAGCAAAAATGAGTATTTATGCTTTGCCTTTTTATCATCATCATCATCATCATTTAGGGTCACAAACACATTAGCTTGAATATGATGAAGTTGTGTGGTAATTAAAACGCTGCGTTATATGCGTAAAAGTCACTCACTACTAAACAAACCAAGGACTTCTTCACTCTTTATCCGGTTTATCTAGACCGGAGTGATTCGAATATGACCGTTGCTCAATAAAGTAAAAGACAAGAACCGGTTTAAAAGCGAGCAATGACCGGTTTAAGAAAACCAGCTGTAACCGAAGCGACATTGAACGGACCGACTGCTCTCGATTATAGGGTTTATTGGATTCTGCGATTTTGCTGTTTGATCTCTTCACTGACTCTCTAGTGTAGTCTCAGTTCATTTCAAGGGGGAGCCAATTTCGTAGCAAGATGATGAGATCTGTTGCGATTACGGGCATGAGATTTCTTCATCGGCGGCACACTCTGGTGAAAGGTAATCCTGGAACCGCTCCTGCTCTTTGTTGGAGACGAGCTTTTTCTGGTCACAGTTATGATTACAGAGAGAAATTGAGTAGACGAAATGATTTGAAGTTAGACGATGCTGTTGATTTGTTCTGTCAAATGGTAAAGTCTCGTCCTTTACCTTCCATTGTTGATTTCAGTAAATTGTTGAGTGCCATTGCTAAGATGAACAAGTTTGATGTTGTTATCTCACTCGGTGAGCAGATGCAGAAGTTGGGAATTTCACATAGTCTCTATACTTACAATATTTTGATAAACTGTTTTTGCCGACGCTCTCAGCTCTCTCTTGCTTTAGCTGTTCTTGGCAAGATGATGAAACTCGGTTATGAGCCCGATATTGTTACGCTTTCTTCTCTTCTCAATGGATACTGTCACGGTAAGAGGATTTCCGAGGCTGTAGCTTTGGTTGATCAAATGGTCGAAATGGGATATCAACCTAATACTGTTACATTTACAACTTTGATTCATGGGCTTTTTCTTCACAACAAAGCTTTAGAAGCAGTGGCGCTAGTTGATCAGATGGCTGTGAAAGGCTGTCAACCAAATCTGGTTACATATGGTGCTGTAGTAAATGGATTATGTAAGAGAGGTGATATTGATTTGGCTTTGAGTTTGTTGAAGAAGATGGAGAAAGGGAAAATAGAGCCAAATGTTGTAATCTACAACACAATCATCGATAGTCTCTGCAAATATAGACATGTGGATGATGCACTTAACCTGCTCAACGAAATGGTGATCAAAGGAATTAGTCCAAATGTTGTTACCTACAACTCCCTCATAAGTTGCCTTTGTAATTACGGGCGATGGAGTGATGCCTCTCGACTGCTGAGCGATATGATCGAGAGGAGAATCAACCCTAATTCAATCACTTTCAACACATTGATTGATGCGTTTGTGAAGGTGGGGAAGCTTTTAGAGGCTGAGAAATTGTACGAGGAGATGATCAAAAGGTCTATAGATCCTAATGTCATCACTTACAGTTCAATGATCAACGGGTTTTGTATGCACGATCGTCTAGACGAGGCCAAACAGATGTTTGAGTTCATGGTTAGCAAGGATTGTTACCCAAATGTAGTGACATATAATACTCTCATAAAGGGTTTTTGTAAGGCTAAGAAAGTGGTGGATGGTATGGAACTCTTTCGGAACATGTCTCAAAGAGGATTGGTTGGAAACACAGTCACTTACAACACTCTTATCCAGGGGTTATTTCAAGATGGAGATTGTGATATGGCTCAAGAACTATTCAAAGTGATGGTTTCTGATGGTTTGCCTCCAGATATTATCACATACAACTTTCTGTTAGATGGACTCTGTAAAAATGGGAAGCTAGAGAAAGCATTGGTGGTATTCGAGTATCTGCAAAAGAGTAAATTGGAACCTGATATTTGCACATATAATATTATGATTGAAGGGATGTGCAAGGCAAGGAAGGTGGAAGATGGGTGGAATTTATTTTGTAGCCTCAGCCTTAAAGGAGTGAAGCCTGATGTTATAACCTACAATACAATGATCTCAGGATTCTGTTGGAAAGGTTTAAAGGAGGAAGCAGATACCTTGTTCAAAAAAATGAAAGAAGATGGGCCTCTTCCAGATAGTGGTACTTATAATACGCTTATTAGGGCGCATCTTAGAGATGGCGACAAAGCAGCATCAGCTGAACTCATCAAAGAGATGAGGAGTTGCGGGTTTGCTGGAGATGCTTCAACCATTGGCTTGGTGACTAATATGCTGCATGATGGGAGATTGGACAAAAGCTTTCTGGACATGCTTTCTTAAAATATCCTTGAAGTGAATAAGCCTTTTTCTTACTACTTATTACTTCTCAATGCAGTCCTTATGTTCATGAATATGTTTGATTAGCTTTCTGTTATCCAGCATTATAGTTTTGGTGAACGTTTTAGGTTGTGAGTTTTTTTTTTTTCATCCAATATTGTTTATATGTTTATATTATATGTTTCATTTCAGAAGATTACATTTGTGTTTCTTTAGCTAACAAATACAACATTTTAGATATTTGGTGACATTCGGAAGAAAAGATGACAAAGCAGAGAAATCAATGATATTCTTTGAATAGAAGAATCTATCAGTTTTCCGAAGAAGATTTTTTTTTTAGTTTTCGGAGTTAGTCAATGTTTGCCTCATTTCTATGTTGTTCTTTATCTACACAGAACAATCAACTTTCATGGATACAAAAGAAAATCTTTCAAAAATGATCACGGGAAGTCGAGAAGAAAGAGATCCAGTAGAGTAACCCATCCTGGGAAATTCCGGTCATTGGAAAAAGTTTGGGATTGGTACGATGCCTTCTGAAACTTTCTTCAAAGACTGAAAGTTCCGAGATTGGGTTGCTATGTTGGATCTCTGTCTTCTCAACTTCATGTGATCATTTATGACTCACAAGCATTGAGAAATATGTGAGATACTTGAACTATTTTCTTTGATTTCATGAAAGTTATTGGTTTTTGTGTTGACCAATAACATCATATAATTGGGGCAAACATTGCCTGATATTATAGACGGATAGATTCTTTTTTTCTCCTCATAATGTCATTGGTTCTACTTTTTGTCGTCTCTTTGGTATGTTATCTAATATTCTCAATGTTGTAGTTGTTAGATTTTTTTAATCCCAAGTGGAACTGAGCCCACAATATTCCTCGTCTTCTTGAAAATAGTAATTAAATCTTAAAGATCTTTTGCTTGATCTTTTTGACTGAACACAACTGCTCGCTTGAGAAGTTTTAGTAGCAGCAACAACAGAGGATTCTCTTTGATGTAGCTATTTGTTTTCTTAGTGATGGGTTTTTGATGATACAGTTTAGTCCTTTTCCTTCCACTATTGATTTCAGTATATACGGTTGCTGTTGTGTGTAAGCTTCATGAAGATGATTGATACTATGCATTTGTGTATTTCATTGTCAGGTTAACTCAAGATCAGTGGTGAGCATCATAAGAAGCTCTTCCCTTCATGAAGATCTCAGACTTTTGTTTGGCATATGATTGATTGTTCTACTGTAGATTTGGTGTTAACCACACTTGGTTGGGTATTTCCTTCTCGGTTCTATTTCCTGTACACAAAATTTTCTGAATCTGGTTCTTATAGAAATATAAATGAAACATGTAAACCAGCTTGAGTTTGGTAAATATTAGGATAGTGTTTCTTCTGTTTTTTTTGGTGCAATGTCAAGGAGATAATACCGTGAATGACACTCTTTTGGACACTTTTTAGTTTGGTAACAGTCTAAAAGTTGAGGGGAGGTTCTAAGGTGGTAGCATTGCGTTGAATTGACTGAGCAAGTTGGTATTGATGTCTTCAATCATGACGCTGTGCCAGGTTACTTTTGGAAGATAGATTGGTTGGAGAAGAAGGAGAAAGAGCTGTCTGATTTGGCCAGTCTCCTATGAGTTTACATTCTATTCTTCTCAGAACAAGACCTGAACGTTTCAGACAATTAGCTTCTACTTGTTTTTCAACTTTTAGGTTAATCTCTTCTTACTCTATATAAAAATATCTAACCAATTCCTTTATTAATCATGAACTCTCATCATTCACCATCACAGGGAACCAAGGTTCATCATTTTATAGCCTCTCTTTCTAGATTTGTTTGACTTCATGGAAATTATAAAGGTTGACTTCAGAATAAGATTAGAATATGCAGTTTTGTTCTGAGTTCTCCAAAACCATCTGTTCTTTGTTTTTTTTTTTGGTTAGGCTGGATTCAATTAGTGAAGACTCACATATAATTCTGACTGGATGTTCTATGGTTTTAGCTATAGTTTTACATTCATGTTTTTAAATCTGAGTGTGTTAGAGAAATAGTCACTTTGTACATTGGATGAAGTTTGTAACGGATACAAATCCTTGAATGACAAAATCCTTTTTGTGTGCAGATTTTGGCGGAGATTCATTGGAAGCTGTTTCTGAGGTAAAATTGAGAAGATGATAAATAGTATCTTGTCAAAGCAATGAATAGTACATTGTACAAGATGCATTCGAGCAATAAATGAGTTTGCATGCCCTCGTGGCTTTGTTCTTCCAACCATTTTTGTTTGTCATCATCTGATACCCTCACCCAAACTCATTTATTGCTCGCATTCGTTTGTACAATGTACAAACTCAATTGAGAACGGTAAATCCTCGTACTGCCCCCTCCATTGTTTAGTCTTTGCAGTTTCCGATATTGGATGGAGAAGAAGGATAAAGAGCTGTGTCTCTGGTTTGGCCAGGCGCCTATATATTGGTTTTCGTCTTTCAGATTCTTTGTACTATTCACAATGGAGACAAGAGTATATATGCTTTAGAATTAGGCCTTTTTCTTGTGTCACAAATTTGAGTTGTATGCGTAAAGACACATCTACTAATGAAAGTTCATTGTCCGGTTTATCTAGACCGGAGTGATTCAATTGAAATCTTGAGAAGGTAATCCTGGAACTGTTCCTGCTCTTTGCTGTTTCCGTTGCTAGAGACGGTCATATGATTATTTAGTAGAAACGTGTAACTAACTGGATTTGAAGTTAGAGCTTTTGCTGCTTTTAAATTATAAAAGAACGCAGAGTGAACCGGTCGGTTAGTAAAACTGGAAATGATATGATATAATCCTGACCGTCAAATCCCAAAAATGATCCAACGGCCATAAAACTGAAATCAGTCACTCACTCCTCGTGACTGTCTTTTTTGGTAGACCGAAGTTAAAAACTTGAGATTTGCTCATCGGAGCAATTAGATTTGGAGTCTGAAACCTCAATCAGCTGAAGATGAGGAGATTGTTTGCGATTGCGTCGATGGGAAAGAGATTTGCTCATCGGAGTCTTCTTCTTAAAGGTAAACTTGGAACTGCTCCTTCTTCGTTTAGCCATTGCAGTTTCTGGGTACGAGCTTTTTCTGGTGGCGGTGATGATTACAGAGAGATATTGAGTAGAAATAGGATATTACAGGATCTGAAGTTAGATCATGCGATTGGTTTGTTCGTTGAGATGGTAAAGTCTCGTCCTTTACCATCCATTGTTGAGTTCAATAAATTGTTGAGTGCTATTGCTAAGCTGAAGAAGTTCGATGTTGTCATCTCTCTGGGCGAGCAGATGCAAAACTTGGGAATCTCACATAGTCTCTATACTTACAATATTCTCATAAACTGTTTTTGCCGACGGTCTCAGCTCTCTCTTGCTTTAGCTGTTCTTGGAAAGATGATGAAACTCGGCTATGAGCCAAGTATTGTCACGCTTTCTTCTCTTCTCAATGGGTACTGTCATGGTAAGAGGATATCCGAGGCTGTAGCTTTGGTTGATCAAATGGTCGAAATGGGATATCAACCTAATACCGTCACATTTACAACTTTGATTCATGGGCTTTTTCTCCACAACAAAGCTTCCGAAGCTGTGGCGCTAGTTGATCGGATGGCTGTGAAAGGCTGTCAACCAAATCTGGTTACATATGGTGCTGTAGTAAATGGATTATGTAAGAGAGGTGATATTGATTTGGCTTTGAGTTTGTTGAAAAAGATGGAGAAAGGAAAAATAGAGCCAAATGTTGTAATCTACAACACAGTTATCGATGGTCTCTGCAAATACAAACATGTGAATGATGCACGCAACCTATTCAATGAAATGGAGAACAAAGGAATTAGACCAGATGTTTTTACCTATAACTCCCTCATAAGCTGCCTTTGTAATTACGGAAGATGGAGTGATGCCTCTCGACTGCTGACCGATATGATCGAGAGGAGAATCAACCCCGATGTAGTTACTTTTAATGCACTGATCGATGCGTTTGTGAAAGAAGGGAAGTTTATAGAGGCGGACAAATTATATGAGGAGATGATCCGAAGGTCATTAGATCCTGATATTTTCACCTACAATTCTTTGATCAATGGGTTTTGTATGCGTCATCGCCTAGACGAGGCCAAGCAGATGTTTGAGTTCATGGTTAGCAAGGACTGTTTCCCAAATGTAGTGACTTATACTACTCTTATAAATGGATTTTGCAAGTCTAAGAAGGTAGAAGATGGTATGGAACTCTTCTGGGAGATGTCTCAAAGAGGATTGGTTCGAGACACAATCGTTTACACTACTCTCATCCAAGGGTTTTTTCAAGCTGGAGATTGTGATAATGCCCAGAAAATATTCAAACAGATGGTTTCTGATGGTGTGCATCCCAATATCATGACATACACCATTTTGTTAGATGGACTTTGTAGTAACGGGAAGCTAGAAAAAGCTTTGTTCATATTCAAGGATTTGCAAAAGAGTGAAATTGAACTTGATACTTACATATATACTACCATGATTGAAGGGATGTGCAAGGCTGGGAAGGTGGAAGATGGATGGGATCTATTTTGCAGCCTCGACCTTAGAGGAGTGAAGCCTAGTGTTGTAACCTACACTTCAATGATCTCAGGATTTTGTAGGAAAGATTTAAAGGAGGAAGCAAATGCCTTGTTCAATAAAATGAAAGAAAACGGGCCTTGTTCCAATAGTGGTACGTATAATACGCTGATTAGGGCACGCCTTAGAGATGGTGACAAAGCGGCATCGGCTGAACTCATCAACGAAATGAGGAGTTGCGGGTTTGCTGGAGATGCTTCAACGATAAGTATGGTGATTAATATGTTGCATGATGGGAGATTGGACAAAAGCTATCTGGACATGCTTTCTTGAAACAGTCAATCCTCGAGAAACGAATTGCAGAGCGACCATCTTCCCTTGTGAATGCATGCTTCTGTGAGGTTTATCGACCTTTTCTATACTGCTGTTCTTGTGTTTACTTCTCGACCCAGTTTCATGTTAAATCTGTTGTGGTTGTTGAGTGAGTTTTATGGACTCGACTGGTACTGCTCTTTCTTATGCTCCTATTAGGTTGACACAAGAATATTTTCATAGTTTAGAAGTTGTCTACATACTTGTACGAGAGACCCTTTTGGTTTGGTTTGAATTGAGGTATATGCATGGCTTGTCTGATACATTTAGCCTAAGTTTGTTTTTCTTGTGTTTACTTCTCGACCGAGTTTCATGTTAAATTCGTTGGTAATTTTGTGACAAAAATACCCTTCTCAACGGGATTGTGACAAAAATTCGTTGGTAATGTTATGAACTCTTCTCGACGAAACAATGGCTGGAAAGCCACTTTCAGGAAAAAAATTGCTGGAATGCCACCCTTCAATTTTCGTTTTATTTTTGATTTTTTTTTAAAATCAAAATATATGGTAAAAGTCCAAAAACTCTTGACCTAAACCATAAATTACGTTCTCTTGCCATTTCTTTTGCTAACCCATATATTCTCCACATAATTGTCACGCTTCTTCTTCCTCTGGATTTTTTCTTCTCCTCTTCTTCTCCACCATCATCATCAACGCCATAGACCTCTTCTTCTGGATTTTTTGAATCTTTGATCTCAGATCTCTTCTTCTCCATCATCATAAACCAGATCCCAGATCCCAGATCCCAGATCTCTTCTTTTTCTCATGGATCTCTCTTCTCTCTCTTCGCTCTTTTGATCGATCTTTGTCCTTGTCTTCGTTTCCATCACCATAGTTTATGCTCAGATTTGCAAATCAGATATCCAACAACAATCTTGATCTAGATCTCTCCAAATTGGCTTTGTAATGCACGGGTAAGAAAAATCGGTTCACAAACTTCGACGAGGAAGGTTGACGGCGGATCATCGGCGACGACGACGGTGAATAAAACAAGAGGAGACGAATTAGTGAGTGTGACGGCGCTAGGGTTTAGAATTACAATTTTTCGCTTTAGTTGTACCAAGGTGTACCTATTTATATGTCAGTTATACCAATTGTATCAATTGTACTATTATTTTAACTAATACCATTTGTACTAGTTGTTCAATTATCTCTCAGTTATACTAGTTGTATCACTTGTCATATTATCCCTTATCTGTACCAGTTGTACTATTATCTCTTAGTTGTACCAATCGTCTGTTATTTCATTAAGGGTAATTTGAGAATATCACATTTACAGTGGCACTCAGATTACAAAATAGCATGCCTGATTCGTTTTTTCCATTTAGTGGCAAACTAGCATCGGACTCCTTCTCGACCGAGTTTCATGTTAAAAGTGACAAAAATACCCTCAAGAAAAAAAGGCTGAACTTACAGCTGCTGTTCAAATGACGCCACCACCTCCTGAATTTGAAGATTATGATGATGGGGAAGAAGAGAAGGATTATGAGCCAAAAAACAAAGGCGGTCTTTCTCAGCGCAAAAAGGCACGACACAAAGGTCCACTTGACAGGTTCATAACTTCTCCACCTCCAAATTTATTGAATGCTAGAAAAGAAAGGAAAGGAATTTTTGGAGCTTGTGATAAGGAGCTAAGGGAGAAGACTTGTAGAGGTATTGCGAGGTTTTTCTATGATTTTGGTCTTGCATTCAACGCTGCCACTTTAGACAGTTTTAAAGAGATGCTTGAATTGGTTGGACAGTATGGTCCAGGATTAAAGCCACCAACCATGCATGAGCTTAGAGTTCTTTTACTTAAGAAAGAAGTAGACGGTACTAAAAGCCAAATAGTGGAGTACAAGAAAGAGTGGGCTTCTAAAGGGTGTTCACTCATGTCGGATGGATGGCGCGATTCAGTTGTTCAAAAAGATTTAGTTAACTTTCTTGTCAACTCTCCAAAGGGATCTGTTTTCGTGAGATCTCTAGATGTATCAGAAGTCGTCAAAGATGCCAACTTGTTCTTTGATTTGCTTGATAAGATGGTTGATGAGGTTGGGGAGGAAAACGTCGTCCAAGTAGTCACGGACAATGCATCAAACTACGTGAAAGCCGGTAAAATATATATTTGATCTCTTTAAGTTTTAGTAAGTATTGAATTTATTTTATATATTAACTCTAATTTCTTTCTTGGTAAATATAAAATTCAGGGGAGTTGCTCGAAGCGAAACGACCACATCTTTATTGGACTCCATGTGCTGCTCACTGTATCGATTTAATGCTAGAAGACATTGGTAAAATCTCATATGTGAAGAGTGCACTACAGAAGTGCATATTCATAAATGGCTATATTTATAGTCATATTCCTCTACTGAACATGATGAGGAAGTTCACAGGTGGAAGGAATTTGCATAGGCCGGCGATCACAAGATTTGCAACCTCTTTCATCACGCTTGCACAGTTTCACAGGCTGAAGGACAACTTGAGAAAGATGGTTCATTATGATGAATGGAATGCCTCGAAGTGGCCAAAAGAAGCTTGAGGGAAGAAAATAAAATCATTTTTTTTGCAAGAAAGCTTCTGGAAGAATGTTTTACATGCTCTGAAGTTGGGAGGTCCTCTTATACAAGTTCTTCGAATGGTTGATGGAGAGAAAAAACCTCCTATGGGATACATATATGCAGCCATGGATCGAGCTAAGGAGAAAATTATGCAGAGTTTCACTATGAGAGACGAAAACTACAAAACGGCGTTTCAGATCATTGATAGAAGATGGGAATGTCAACTTCATAGGCCTTTGCATGCAGCTGGCTACTATCTAAACCTGAATTTCATTATTCAAATGAAGACATAGGTTGTGAGGAAGTCTTGAAAGGTTTTTATGCTTGCATTGAAAGGTTGACTCCGACAATTGAGATTCAAGATAAGATAATAGCCGAGTTGGATGCATTTAAAAATGCTACGGGTCTCTTTGGTATTCCAATGGCAATAAGGCTGAGAAAATCACAATCACCATGTATAACTCTCAAGTCTGACATCTTCGTTTTCATAATTTAATCTTGGATAAAAACTTACGATAATTTCACTTTAATAGCTGAATGGTGGTCTTCTTATGGATCTTCAACTCCAAACCTCCAGAAGTTTGCCATAAAAGTTCTTAGCCTCACTTGTAGTGCTACCGGTTGTGAGAGGAATTGGATTGTTTTCAACTAGTAAGTAACCTTAATTCGATTATTTACTTTAATTAAATTATGCATAAAACACAGCTTCTAATCTTCTCTTCTAACAGCTTCATACCAAAAGAAGGAACATATTGAATCAATCTCAGTTGAACGACATGGTATTTGTGAAATACAATCGCGCTCTACAACGTCGATACAAGAGAAAAGACACCGTCGATCCTATTGTGTTGGATGAAATTGATGAATGCAATGAGTGGCTGACTGGGACAATGGAATCTGATAATGAAGATGATCTTGTGTTTGAAGATGATAACTTGACATGGAATGTAGTTGGCGAGGCCGTAGGTGCTAATGATCCTTATTATGCAACTAGATCGGCTGCTGCTTCAAGTAGATTTGAAAAAGGAAAAGGCGTTGCTACTGATTCTGGTGGACATGGACGTTCCAAAGCATCTCGCAGGCCACCATCTACTTCTAGTCCTATGACTTTGGTTGATGATGATGACGAGATGGAAGAGGATTTCATTGGACCAGAGTATGAGGATACGCTTTTGGACAATGATGATTATGAGTATGATGATTCTGGTTTTTAGATTATTAATGGTTTAAAAACCATTGTGTTTGCTACTTTGCTTTTATATCTATGTGTTTGCTACTTTGCTATTATTCTACTTGTTGTGGATTGGATTAGATTGTTTTGTAGTATTTTATTTGGGATTTCTAAAGTTTAAGAAGGAAATAAGTCTGTTACATTTTTGTTTTCAAATTGATGTGCCTCGTGTCTAAGTGGCGCTGCGCCTTATGCGCCATGGCCCATGGCTCCATAAGAGGACATTAGTGCCACGGTGCGCTTTGCGCCATTTAAAACTCAGGTAGTGACATATAGCACTCTCATAAAAGGATTTTGCAAGCCTAAGAGAGTAGAGGATGCTCTTGAACTCTTTCGGAACATGTCTCAAAGAGGATTGGTTGGAAACACAGTCACTTACAACACTCTTATCCAGGGGTTATTTCAAGATGGGGATTGTGATATGGCTCAAGAACTATTCAAAGTGATGGTTTCTGATGGGGATGGTGTGCCTCCCAATATCATGACATACAACATTCTGTTAAATGGACTTTGTAAAAATGGGAAGCTAGAAAAAGCATTGGTGGTATTCGAGTATCTGCAAAAGAGTAAATTGGAACATGATATTTGCACATATAATATTATGATTGAAGGGATGTGCAAGGCAAGGAAGGTGGAAGATGGGTGGAATTTATTTTGTAGCCTCAGCCTTAAAGGAGTGAAGCCTGATGTTATAACCTACAATACAATGATCTCAGGATTCTGTTGGGAAGGTTTAAAGGAGGAAGCAGATACCTTGTTCAAAAAAATGAAAGAAGATGGGCCTCTTCCAGATAGTGGTACTTACAATACGCTTATTAGGACGCATCTTAGAGATGGTGACAAAGCAGCATCAGCTGAAATCATCAAAGAGATGAGGAGTTGCGAGTTTGCTGGAGATGCTTCAACCATTGGCTTGGTGACTAATATGCTGGATGATGGGAGATTGGACAAAAGCTTTCTGGACATGCTTTCTTAAAACAGTTTATCCTCGAGAGAAGAGGAGCGGTAGTGCAACAGTCTTCCCTTCAAAGCACAGGTGAGGTGAATCAAGTATTTATGTTGCTTTCTAGTGATTACTTCTCTGTCTTCGTGTTACCTGTGTATATTTGGTTGCTGGTGTGACGTGTGTGTAAGCTTCATGTAGGTGACTGAAACTGTGCTTGTGATGATTTTAGTGTTAGGTAAAACAAGATCATCAGAAGAAGCTATTCTCTTCAAGAAGATCTCAGACTTGGTTTGGTGTATTTATTGTTTTGGTTTAGATTTTGATTTTAGCTAAATGTAGGTGACAAATTCTTAGTTTGAACTCTGAAAGATTGTTTAGACAAATGTTTAGTTTCGTTGGGTTCAAATAAAGAACTTGGTTTGGTTTCTCATTCTCGGTTCTGTTTTTTTTGTACACAAAGATTCTGAATTTGTTTCTTCATTACATGAAAAATGAGTTACCTCCAACGCCAGCTAAAGGTAAACTATTGCTAAAACCAAATCTGAACGTCTCTGATCTTATAATTTCAGGAACTTGGCCATTAGGACCAAATAAAAATTCATCAGGAGGACACATATTTGAAGGGGAACATACAAAGTGAGATCAGGCTACCATTTGCAACGTGAGAGCTCTCTCAAGCTAACCTGCCAATACAACAATAATCTTCAGATAGAAAGTAGCACAAGCATGAAGAATCTGTTTCATCTTGTTTTGCTAGTGCAGTTTTCTGCATAAGGGTCATTCAGTTGGCGGTATCTTCACTTGTAGCTTGCTTCAAAATATTTAATCTCTTAACATAATGTAACATTGGCTGGAGAATATGGAAAATGCGCAATGATCTTTTGTTCCAAGATTCAAGATAGTCTATCCTAGAATCAAAACTTTCACAGAAAAGCTTCTTGGGCTTGTCTGAATCAAAATGCATAGGCATAGGCTGATCAAAACAAGGAAAAGTATACTAAAACAACTTCATCTATATTTCCAACCTCTTGCTCTCTTGAAGCTGAAGCTATTGCAACTCAGTCCTCATGTTACTTGTGTGTATGTTTAATTGCTGTTGTGTGTAAGTTTCATGAAGGTGACTGATATTTTATTGTTATGTTAGTACAAGATCAATATAATGAGTATCAGAAGAAGCTATTCCCTACAAGAAGATCTCAGACATGGTTTGCTGTGATTATTGTTTTGGTATAGGTTTAGTGTTTTAGTCAAATTCTTAATTAATTTAGGGAATGAAACTCTTTTGGACACTTTTGTTGAGTTTAGAGGAATAAAACTCAAATGACTTCTAAATTTCCAGTTAAGATTGGTAAAACCGAATTAGAGGATGTGTGAAATGTTCCTTAGCTTATAACCTGCAACAACTTTTTGCATTCTCTGATCTTCGAACATATATATATGTAATTCAGTTAACAGGAATCACTAAGATTGGTGGTTAAGGAAAATATTTGGAGAATGTTGCAGAATCCAATATCTCTTCTTACCATAGAATAAAAAACACATATGCACAGTTTAAATCATTTTGAACTACCGTGTCCTGTGAATTGAACCTCAGCTAAACCATAATGAGTACTTAATTTGTTGTCCATTAACTAACGGAGAGCAATATAAAATGCTACAAAAACACAGCTGGTTTGATCATAATGTTCTCGGATACTGTTTTTCTGAGATGCTTCCCCTTACCGAACTAAACTTCATGCCAAAGATGGTTGATTCTGGTAATGCAGAAGTTTAGCTGCTCCTGTTGTTCACCATGATGAAGAAGATGAGCTTGTGGTGCCTGTGTGGGATGAACGTTCTGGCTCCAACACTCCTCCTCATCATGTTTCTAACAGTAGCTCTGACAGTTCAGCAATCTCTTCCTCCTCCCTAATATCTCCACCTCCTCAACCTGTTTCCCCACATTTCCGAGGTGATGAGTTTGGTGCGGGTCGTCAGCCTTCCAGGTTTGAAGATTCATGTCAAATATTATAGAATCTATAAAATACTTTATTGAGTTGTCTCTCATATGAAAATATAAGATACATATATATAGTGTTAACATTAACATAATGTTAACACCCACATAATGTAAACTTTCCTAAACATATAAGTAAATAACTTGTACAAGAAGTAATATAGAGATCTAGAATATTCTTCGGTTTAGGCTTCACGGGCTTCACTTCATAATGGACTTTAACGGTCCATATTACTTGGTCCGCAAGATACACATCTTGCTTATCTCCAATACTCCCCCGCACGACAAAGGTGGGATGCGAAACGCAAAATATGCAACCACAAAGCGGAACACCTATGTCGTGGACATCATGTCGAGGACGGACAAATCATGTCAACTGTCTCCTCAGGTATAAACTTCAATTTTCAAAAGAGGATGGAACTTCAGCTCGTCTTTGGTCTTAGTAAAAGGGAATAACAATATTCCGTGGGCGCAAATCCTGCAACTCCACAAATAATCGTCCTATCTCGGACAGTCCACAAACCGGACTAAAAAATAGCCTAAAACATGAGTGTTCCAATAAACTCCCCCGTAATATGAGAAATCAAAACTCACATTAAAAAAATGAGATATTCTAAACTCAAGAATAAATCTCATAAATAAACAACTACTTGTGAAATCCCAAACCCTTAAAACATAATAATTCCTCAAAGATCTCTAATTCTTGTGCTAAACCAAATCATAAACTCAAAATAAACCTAAAACACTAACTTAGAATAAAAGAAATATAAAACTCTCATGTGGACGTCAAAGCAAACTTTGCTTCACGTCATCATCCGGATCGTCTTCGTCACCACCGTCTTCGATGGCTTCACATCCCATGGTTATTGTGACCACAAGATTTTTAATGCGGAAGCGTTTAATTCAGATCCACAAGGATCGACTGCTCTGATACCATGTCAAATATTATAGAATCTATAAAATACTTTATTGAGTTCTCTCTCATATGAAAATATAAGATACATATATATAGTGTTAACATTAACATAATGTTAACACCCACATAATGTAAACTTTCCTAAACATATAAGTAAATAACTTGTACAAGAAGTAATATAGAGATCTAGAATATTCTTCGGTTTAGGCTTCACGGGCTTCACTTCATAATGGACTTTAACGGTCCATATTACTTGGTCCGCAAGATACACATCTTGCTTATCTCCAATAATTCAAGTTCCTCTTCTATGCATCATTCTCCAGGTTCCTCCTCTGTTCATCGAGCTAAAGGGAAAGCAAGGTATGAGATATGTGAATGTTCTACTCGTAAGAAAGGAAAAAGGATTGATCTTAACTCTGAGAGAAACATTAGACAGTGTTGTAAAGACAAGGGGGTTCCGTTTTACCCAGTGGATGGTCAACTTCCCTAGTTTGTTTTCAGACACTTAACACAATCAGAGCATAATTTACCCTTATTGATGAGGACATCATGTCATCATCACTTATGCTCTGGTTTCTGCTGCTTTTTGGGGTAAGTCTTACCTTAGTTTTTAGGAAATAAAGGACCTACTTCAGGTCAAACAAGTGGATGATGAAGGAGAACTTTTTGGACATCATTCTGGTTTAAACTGATGTTAATTGCGCAAAGAGAAGGTTCAGTTTCACAGGTTGGAAGGCTTTCAATGACTTTTTGGAAACTTTCTACTGCTAATCATGGCTGGTATGAAGATGGTGAACAAGCAGCAAGCATAATGCAAGCTTATGTTGGATGCGATAAGATCAACTTCAAGCTACAACGCTTCAATATTTGGTCTTATTGAGAATTGTTATGAGCTTGCTAATACCAAGTTACCATTTTGTTGCTACTCTTTAGTTTTAGAATGTGTTGTATGTTACTTATGTTTTGTAGTTTGTATATGTTTGTTATACCCTGTATTTGGCTTTCCTCCTTGGTTTCTCCAATGATAAGTGATGGTGATGCAGTTTCAATGTAGTATATACTTAAAGGAAAAAAAAAAAAAAAAAAGACGACTAAAAATAAAAGGAGCAATGACCGGTTTAAGAAAACCAGCTGTAACCGAATCGACATTGAACCGACCGACTGCTATCGATTATAGGGCTTATTGGATTCTGCGATCTCTTTTGCTGTCTGATCTCTCTTCACTCACTCTCTAGTTTAGTAGTCTCCTCAATTCATTTCAAGGGGAAGCCATTTTCGAAGCAATCAAGAAGATGATGAAATCTGTTGCGATTACGGGCATGAGATTTCTTCATCGGCACACTCTGGTGAGAGGTAATTCTGGAACCGCTCCTGCTCTTTGCGGTTTTCGTTACTCAGGACGAGGTTTTGCTGCTGCTAGTTATGATTACAGAGAGAAATTGAGTAGACGAAATGATTTAAAGTTAGATGATGCGATTCGTTTGTTCGGTGACATGGTCAATTCTCGTCCTTTACCTTCCATTGTTGAGTTCAATCAATTGTTGAGTGCCATTGCTAAGCTGAAGAAGTTCGATGTTGTCATCTCTCTCGGCGAGCAGATGCAAAATTTGGTAATTGCTCATGATCTCTTTACTTACAGTATTTTCATTAACTGTTTCTGCCGACGGTCTCAGCTCTCTCTTGCTTTAGCTACTCTTGGCAAGATGATGAAACTCGGCTATGAGCCCGATATTGTCACACTTTCTTCTCTTCTCAATGGGTACTGTCACGGTAAGAGGATCTCCGAGGCTGTAGCTTTGGTTGATCAAATGGTAGAAATGGGATATCAACCTAATACCGTCACATTTACAACTTTGATTCATGGTCTTTTTCTCCACAACAAAGCTTCAGAAGCAGTGGCGCTAGTTGATCGGATGGCTGTGAAAGGCTGTCAACCAAATCTGGTTACATATGGTGCTGTAGTAAATGGATTATGTAAGAGAGGTGATATTGATTTGGCTTTGAGTTTGTTGAAGAAGATGGAGAAAGGGAAAATAGAGCCAAATGTTGTAATCTACAACACAGTTATCGATGGTCTCTGCAAATACAAACATGTGAATGATGCACGCAACCTATTCAATGAAATGGAGAACAAAGGAATTAGACCAGATGTTTTTACCTATAACTCCCTCCTAAGCTGCCTTTGTAATTACGGAAGATGGAGTGATGCCTCTCGACTGCTGAGCGATATGATCAAGAGGAGAATCAACCCCGATGTAGTTACTTTTAGTGCACTGATCGATGCGTTTGTGAAAGAAGGGAAGTTTGTAGAGGCGGACAAATTATATGAGGAGATGATCTGGAGGTCATTAGATCCTGATATTTTCACCTACAATTCTTTGATCAATGGGTTTTGTATGCGTCATCGCCTAGACGAGGCCAAGCAGATGTTTGAGTTCATGGTTAGCAAGGACTGTTTCCCAAATGTAGTGACTTATACTACTCTTATAAATGGATTTTGCAAGTCTAAGAAGGTAGA